CAGTCCACTCTAGAGGGTGAGTGCAGTCCACTCTAGGGGGTGAGTGCAGTCCACTCTAGGGGGTGAGTGCAGTCCACTCTAGGGGGTGAGTGCAGTCCACTCTAGGGGGTGAGTGCAGTCCACTCTAGGGGGTGAGTGCAGTCCACTCTAGGGGGTGAGTGCAGTCCACTCTAGAGGGTGAGTGCAGTCCACTCTAGAGGGTGAGTGCAGTCCACTCTAGAGGGTGAGTGCAGTCCACTCTAGAGGGTGAGTGCAGTCCGCTCTAGAGAGTGAGTGCAGTCCATCGTGTGAGCTATCGCATTTTGCAGTCTACAAGTGCAAAATCTAAGTGAACTGGTGTGCCGGTTACTCTCTACACATTCAAGTACAAATAATTCGGAGTACATTCGCACCTCTGGCCGCGGGGAGTGCTCCCCCTAGCCAGATGCGGGGTAGCTCCCCTGGGCTTGTCGTCCTAGTCCGAGCCTCCACGTCAAGTCCTTCCGTCAAGTTTAGGACGGTGTCGTCCATGTCACGCTGAATTCTCCACGTTCCGTTTACCTCCAAGCGTCAAGTAAGGCTTCATTTATTTTCAGGCCACAATTCCTCTACCGCGTTACCAGCTTTAGGATGTAAAGTTGATGCTACGCCAGGACTGGACAGTAAACGATTTTAGTTCCACCGTTTCGTTGCTCAACATTTTAATTTATTCGAGATATTAGTTGCGTTATTTACTTCACTCTTCGGTATGGTTAGTCAGGAGGCGGTTGCCGAGGCTGCCATTAGAGGTCGAGCGTATTCACCCTAAAAAGCTATTGATCTTCAAGTACCGGTAATTAAGAAAAGTGAACTAATTAAGGGATCAAAATACCTGTCTTAAAAATTACCTCACTTCAACACAGAAATTATTACTCATTAACGGATTATTTGCCTGAATTCTCTAGTAATCATTCATGCATACATTTATTGTACAGCTCATTCATGCGGGCGAATTCCTCTCTCCCCTGAGTTGTCTGTAGTTCATGCACTTTCAGGAAGATGCTCACAGGCGACGCATGACAGGCGGTGTAGCAGGCGACGCATGGCGGGTGATGTGTGGCATGCGAGACAAGGCAGGCGCGCGGCAGGCGATGTATCAGTCAACGCAGGCGACGCATCAGACGAGGTAAGGCAGGCGCACGTGGCAGGCGAAGCATCAGTCAAGGCATGGCTGGCAACGCATCAGACGAGGTAAGTCAGGCACGTGGCAGGCGGAGCATCAGTCAACGCATGGCTGGCAACGCATCAGGCGAAGCAGGGCAGGTGCATGGCAGGCGATGCATCAGTCAACGCAGGCGACGCATCAGACGAGGTAAGGCAGGCACGCGTGGCAGGCGATGCATCAGACAACGCGTGGCAGACAAACAGGACAATGCAGTGACGTGTGCTGGATCATTACTCAAACATCACTATAATATTAGACACGCTATAGTATTCAATTAATACGCAATAACTTCATGATAGAGCATTAAGCTATTTTTCAGTTTCTTTGATACAAAAAAAATCAGTAGTTGGCCCGAAAATAATCCTTTGGAAATTAAATA